TGTGCGTGTGCGTGGGGTGGCGGGAGAGTGCGGCCGTGCGCGGCGCTCGGGGCTGCCCCGCGGGCGGCGGCCGGGGCCGGGGCCGGGGCCGGGGCCGTGGCCGTGGCCGTGGCGGCGGCGGCGGCGGCGGCGGCGGCGGCCGTGCTGCTGAGGCTGGGAGGCTACGGAAAAGTAGTGGGGCCGGAGCCTCGCAGGCGGCCGGCGGTCCCCTCGCGCCGCTGGTGCTCCACGCCGCGGCTCGCCGCCTCCTCCGCCGCCTGCGCCTTCTCCTCCCGCTGCTCGCCCGGCGCCGCCGCCGTCCATGCGCCGCAGAGCGCCCGCGGCCCGGGCGGCCCCGGCTCCCGAGGCTTGCCCGGCGCGGAGACAGGCGACCGGCGGCGGCGGCGGCGGCGAAGGAGGAGGAGGGGGAGGCGGCAGAGGGGGGAGGCGGCCGCGCGGTCCCGCGGGCAGCCCGGCCCAGGGCCCCGCCGCCTCCAGGTTCTCACCCCCGCGCCGCCACCCCCTCCACCACCCGGAGCTGCCCGGTGGCAGGTGGGGCGCACACCCTCCCGGCGGGGGGCGCGGGGCCTAAGCCGGGAGGAGCGGGGAGGGGGAGGACAAGCAGGGGGTTCCAGCTTGACCGCTGTGAAAGTATTTCTGGGCATTTTCCAGCTGCTTTGCTCCAGAGCGCTCTCTCGCCTGCAGACACACCCCCCCTTCTCCTTCTCTCTTGTCTTTCTCTCTCTATCTCTCTCCTCTCTCTCTCTCTCTCCCCCTCTCTCTCTGTCTCTCTCTCTCTCTCTCTGTCCCCCTCTCCCCCCCTTTCTCTCTCTCTCTCTCTCTCTCTCTCTCTCTCTCCCCTCTCTCTCGTTGGGGAACTGAGAGGCTCGGCTGCCGGCGCAACAACGCCACTCAGTTGCAGTTTCAAACACTTCCCTTCTCTGGAGTATTGCAGCCAGGAGAAAAGAGAGAAACAAAAAAAGGAACTGGGAGGCCTCGGGAGCGAGCTGGGGCAGGACGCAGTCCCGGGAGCTCCTTGCCGGCAGGGGGAATCAATGCGGGTGGGGGGCGCGCTGGCCCGAGCGAGCGGGCCCCAGAGTCCCATGGGCGGCGCAGCAGCAGCAACACAAGCGCCTTGTGGCTCCGGCGCTCTCAGCAGCGTTTCCAAAGACGGAGCATCTGCTTCAGCCACGGACGTACAGGAGTGCAGACCCCAGGGTTCACAGGTGAACCCCCACGTGTTTAAACCCGCATACGGAAGCCCTCCCGACTCCGGTCCCGGGACCCTGGACTGGACCGCCGCCCTCTGGGATCTAGCCCAGCTGCACCCGCATTTGACAGTTCACCAAGGCCTAGAGAAAGGCTTGGCAATTCAGTGCAGGGCCCGCGCTAGAATCCTGTTACCTGGGTAGACCCTGGTCAGAGCGTTTTCTCCACTAAACCAATCAGAAGCGTGTGGACGGCTTTTTACGTAGAGACTTGGGTCTGCCATGTGTCAACCAGGCAAGTAGAAAGGACTCCCAAAGCATTTCCACTTTGAATGAATGAAAGATCCTGATGGAAAACATCAGTCCTGGGTGAGGTTTTGCATTTGACTTTAAACTTAAGAAAAAAAGACCCGAAAAGGGGTCTTCCATTCGGTCTCTACGACTTTAGTAAAGTGGGGCTGGGAATTGGAAACTTGCAACGAACACGTAAATGTTTTTTGTGGTAGAGGTGTTTAATCTGCGTGATGGTGTTTAAGTTCTCTTTGAAGTACACTCTACAGGTAGGAGAAAATGAGAATGAGAAATGAACTAGGGTGGAGAGTGTTATGTACAAGACATACATGAGCTGGCAGAGAAGGGAAAAAGTTGCCAGTTCAAAGTTTTGGCTCCAGGACACCCAGTCCAGGGCGTTTCTGTCCGAAAATGGCAAATGAGAGAAGCTTGTATTCTCCCAACAGGCCACTCTTTGCTTGAAAAACCCCCACTGCTGTCACTCCCTCGGCAGACTCCTCAAAAGTACTTAAAAATAATTTTTTGGTAAAATGATATGTCACCATTCACTTAACAAATCCAGATGGAAACAAATCCAAGCAGAAACTAAGTCTGCCCCTCAGAACCCCAAAATCCTGTTGAGGGGCCAGAGGACAGGGGGCTCCTGACTCAGACCCTATCTCCAACACCTGCCATGACCTTCTTGCCCTACACGGCTCACTCTCTGCACCTCCTGCCCCCCAAATTTAACTAAAAGACAGTAACAGGTATCATTACGACTAATTAACGAAATCAAAGAAGGCTACATTTTTCACAGCTATCCTCTTCTGTCAATATAACATAAAAATCGAAGGAGGGAATAATACACCCCAAAGGCTGAAGTTTAGAGATGCTAAAAATAAATAAATAGCCTTAGTCTTTAGAACTGCAGTAGGATTCAGAGGCTTAATAAGGGGCCCAAATGCAAAGTTGAAAGTGGAAAGCACCAGTGCAGCTCTCAGTGTTGAGGTGGCAGACTACAGGGGACTGCCCCTGGTGCTCCTGCCTTGAGGGAAAATTGTCTCTGAGGCAGTCTTTATGGTAAAGGACAACACCAACCTCAGAGCAAACCTGATGGCAGAAAATTCCTAATTCCCCACCCATTTATGCCCGATTTATGTGGTATAGGTTAGCTCAGGTCCCTGAAATCGTTCAAAGGTCAGCTGACATTTCTGACCCTTGACTCCCTACTTCACAGACCCTACTATTGTGACCATTGCCTGCACTTCCTAGTTAAAGTGACCGCCAGATTCTATTGTCATTTAAATGTTGTGTAAGTGCCAAAAAAAAAAAGAAAAAAAAATACCTGAACCATGAAAAGGAAAAATCTAATTATTTTCTAATCTTTTATGTTTGAAAGATTCCCAGATCTTTTGTATTAAAGGTTCCTGTTATCGCTGAAGTAAAAGACTAAAATAATATAAATCAAAAATCTCTTTGACAAGGAATAGCCTCTTTTGAGTTATTTTCCAAACTATTAAAAAAAAAAAAAAAACACTTCAGACAGTACACAGAGCATATAATGAAGTCTTCTACAGAATATTTGCAATACTGGGCATCAACTTGAAAAACACTCAATGTGTTATGCAAAATCTGCTCTGGTCACTGGGCCATTGGTTGGAAGGCACAAAATATGGCAGTGATAGATTATTTTAACCTTTTCAGTTTAAATTCTGTTGGTTCAAATCAAAGGTTCTCAAATCAATGAAGTTTGAAATACAAGGTAAAAATAGGAACTGTTATTTGAATTATGCATTGTGTATATTTTAAGTTAAATATCCACTGGCAGATCTCTCAGATGTTTAATCTTGTGCAATCTGGGAAACACAAATATTTAATTTCACACTTTCATGTGTTCTTTTTTCTTCCATCTTTTATAAAACCAAGCCCCACAAATGGGGAGTTTACCTTTCATAGTACATTGTTAGTTTTTCTCAGCGCATTTTCGTGGATTTACATTTTCAATAAAATTTTGGAACATCAAAAGTTGTCCTTCAAGAAAAACTTCAGGGTTCTAAAGCTATTGGTGGTGGTAAATTGCTTTCCCTTTCTTTCCTAATTGAATCAAATTACTATTTTAATGTCACATCCATAATTTTTAATAAAAATCTATAAATACTTTTAGGAGAAATACAAACAATACTTTAAAACTTGCTTCTCACCACCTAGCCTGACTTTGTAAAAATTGCTTCCTAACTAGTATCCCTGAATCTTAACCATTTGCATTATAATGCGTTTAAGATGAATACTTAACAGCGCCGAAGAGACTCGGATTTCCTGCTGTATTTCCCTTTAGTAACAGGTGATATGATAACACTATTATGTAGAATTGCAAGTCTTCAGCTACACGTGAAAATCGTTCCTATTCTGTTTGGAAACAAATGATCAATCAGCCTCTAGTGATCAATTGACCCCCTGGCTGTCCGTCTGCGTGGGTCCGCATCCGGCTGAGGCATTGAGAAAATTCCACTGGAAAGGGAAGAGGATCCTAAACTTTGCAAAAGCACCTTGTGCGTCGTCTCAGACTTCGCTGCAACTCCCCTGCTACTCGGGGCTGAGGCTCTGGATTTGGGAGCCAGGCAAAGGGCAAAGGATGATTTCACTTCGCCAGTGCACTAGAGTGCTTTTCAATCCACCAAAGTGAAGTGTGTTTTTCTTCCTTATCTGTAGAACGAGGGGCAGGCAAAGTGAACCCTGGCAATGTGCATGTGTGTTGTAAGACACAAAACAGGAGGCAAAGTGAGTCCCACCCCAGCACCCCGGGGCGGGGGCACTATCCCAGCCCAGGCGGGACTACTCACCGCTGCTGGTAGGAGGTGATGCCCTGGACGTTCTGCGGGGTGCCGTTGGCCGCTGCGCCGGCCCTCCCCATGCCCGCGCCGGCCGGCACCCCCGCGGCCGCCCCGCCGGCCGCCGCGGCCGTCACCTGCACGCTGAAATCCGGAAAGATTCGGATCATCGCCGCGGCTTCGGCCCCCGGGCGCGGCGGCTCTGGGCTCGGGCTGGCGGGGGCTCGGGCTCGGGCTCGGGCGGCGGCAGCAGCAGCAGCGCGAGCAGCGGCGGCGGCAGCAGCGGAGCCAGGCACCAGCCTGCAATCCCATTAGTGAGCCGCGGCCACTGTGCGCGGCGGAGAGGCGCTTTGATGTGCGCGCAGCGGGATGTGGGGGGGAGCCGGGAGCGCGAGGAGGAGGTGCGGGGGGCGTGCGAGGGACTTGCAAACAGCAAAACGTGTCAGGGTGGGGCCTTTTTTCCCTTTTGGGGGGCGGCGGTGCTCCCCCCTCTTTCCAGGATGTTGCTCTCACTGGCTGCTCCGGCTGCGCCGCGCGAGCCCAGCTGAGGGAAGAAGGGGAGGGGGTGGCGGAGGAAGGATGCACCGGGAGGCTTGGCGAGGACTTGGCCGGTGCAAGGGAATGACTGGCAGCAGAGGGTGCGTTTCTTTCCCGCCCCCCTCTACGCGCACACACACACACACACACACACACGCCGCGCACTTCCGACCCAAAGTGCAAGACTCAGGCGCGCTGTCTCTCCCCTCCTTTCTCTGGAGAAATAACCACCATCCAGGCAATCTCGCGCCTCCCGCGGCTTCCAGCAACCTGGAAGCCAGCCCGCGTGTGCAGGAATGGGGGCGTAGAGCCTCCCTTCCTGGCCGGAACCCCTCTCTGCCCGTCTTATACACATCGGGCAGCGCGAGGGCTGCCAAGCGCAAGTTGGGCTCCTCGAGAACTTGATACTTATCGAGGAGGGATGGTGTGCAAAGGCGGAGAGAAAAAAAGAAGCCGCTTTTGTGCAATGGAGAGTTTGTTCCCTTTATAAGAATGGGCTCTTCCCGCTGCTGGTGGGTGGGCGGGCTGGTCCTGGACAAACTTGTGAGGTGAGGACTGTAGGTCCGGCTAGAGGGATCCGGTTGTGCCCCGATGACCCACCTCCATACGCCCCTTTCGACAGATGAAACGAATAAATTAGCAGCCTCAACTGAAACGAACTCTGCAAATTCCAACCACCAGGGAAACAAAAAGAGAAAACACGTGCATTTATTTCTTCTCGTCTCTCAGTTACTTCTCCACAATGTTACATCAGTGTTTCTTTAAGGGGTATGGAGGGATGCCTGTGGTTTGGGCGAGCCTTTTTAAGTGACGACTTGCATTCCTTTTCGCTCGGCTGGTGGGTGGGGGCGGTGAGAGTTGATCGTTTCCCCCACCCCCTGCCCAGGACCCCCGTTGTCCCACTTCCTTCTCTTCCTTCCGGCTCGCGAGCCTGGAGTGGAGTTGCGGGCAGTGGGCGCAGCCCCCTTCGGGATGCAGGGCTTCGGCTCCCCTCATCTTGTGCGCGCCACCCTTGCCCCTTTTGCTGGTGCGGCTGGTACTTGCCCCTTCTCGTCTTTTTCTCCTACCCACTCCCTGCGCGCCAAGGCCCGGGCCCCGCAGCCGCAGCCCGGGGACCAGTGGCCGCCTTGCTTTCTGCAGGAACCCAAGTTGAGATCTGCGAAGCGTGGTGACCGCGGTCGCGCCGCCCCAGCCCTCGGCCAATAGCGCCTCGCCTGGCGAGGCACCTGCTTAACCCTTTGCGCCTAGGGCACAGCAGGCCCGCCGGGACCTAGAGGGGCAGAGCGGATTGGCCAGAAGTTGCCAAGGCCGAGAGTGGCAGAGGCCGCCTAGCCCAGCGTCCCCCCTACAGGGTCTAGGGGCCAGACGCCTGTCCTTGCTGCAGACCCGAGCGTCCCCTCCCACCCTGATGGCTCTCGGGAAACAGCCAAGCAGCACAAAGGCGAGCCTTTACCCTGGCGGCGTCCCGCGCCTGCCGGGACAACCTCTGAACTCCCCTAACCCAAGTCAGTTTCCGGAGGCGCCTCCTGCGCCCGGCAGCCGCTGGGAAACAGAGGGAGGGAGCCCCAGCTCTCGCTGGCCGGGCCCACGGCGCAGCTGCGTTTCCATTTTCCTTTCAAAGAAAATGCTTTGGACGGCAGATAATACCAGGAGATATGAAACTGCTTCGTCCCCCACGTGTTGCACGTAAAAAGAATCGTAATGAGCATCTGTGCCTTGTGCGAGGGATCCCACGAGTTTGCTGAAGACCTAACCGAGGTCCTGACTCCCTCCTTCCCGGGAAGAGGTCATTTTCTAGCTTAACAGCATTTCGGGGATGCTTATTGTGCAGAGGCCAAACGCAAGGTCTTTGAGGCCGGAATTGTGGACATGGGGGCAGAGGCCCGGCTGGTGGAAAACATTTGATCACGGAAGTGGGTCCTCATCCCACGCGGAGCACACAGCGCTGGGCGTCGCAGGTTTACTTGGATCTCAGCTCGCTCTCCTCCCTGCTTCTCTTGCTCTGAAAGATCACAAATACCCGCCCCGCTCCGCCCCCCAACCCCGCCCCTGGCTCTGTGCAGGCTTTCTCAGGACGAGAAATGGGAGTTTATGCCAATTCGAGAGAGGTCCGGAATGTTTTAGGAGTTGGGAAAAGTTTCTTTCTCTGACTGCATTGGTCAAGGCCGGCGGTATTGTAGGCCAAAGGAAGTCTAGTATGTAAATAACTCAGGAAAGAGGCTGAAAATGAACCCCAATCCAGGCAGTACCTTTCTATAAAATAGCTTTTGTTTGAATTATTGGCCCATTGTGGGGTAGTGATGGGCCTGCCACAGATGTCTAGGCCAACCAGTTGATGGAGGCTTCCAGCAAGTGGCTCCTGGACCCATGTGTAGTCCAGGAATGTAATGCAACATTCCTCCTTGATCCTGTGCATCCAGAGGCAGCCTCAATGTGCCAAGTGAGTCAAAGGAGGGAAAAGCCCTCTGTGGCCAAAGGAGCAGAACTTTTAGAAGATTAGTTTTCCTTTTAAAGGCTTTCTGCACAGTCAACAATGAGTTATATTTACAAAGAATATTACAGCTCTTCGTTTCAATACCAATTCTATGACTAGAAGAGGCCAGCAATTATTATTTTATTTTATTCACTACTTATTTTACAACATTTTATTCACTACTTATTTTACAAAATTTTTGGCTTGAAAATGTAGCACCCTGTTTCTCATCCCTTTTGGAGGGCAATTTTTTCTTGGAAACCCAAAGGGCAAAACTGCCCCAATGGAAAGAAAATGTGAGATTTGTTGTTAGACATTTAAAACTACATAAGCTGAGGCCTTTTCAATTATATGTTGTTATTAAAATAGTTTAATGAGCACATTCAACTTCAAAGTTCCAAGCTTTCAATTACCCATTTTTACGAGAATTAATATGGCTCCTGCCCTCGAGAAACTTTCTTTTCTAAAACAGGAATACACAAAATACTCAAAGAAGATTTGCACAGGTTACCTTACAATGCACATGTTAAGTCTGGTTCAGTATTTTATCCTTACATGTATAGTTTCAGAAAGTCGGTTTGCATGCATGAGAGACAAATTCCTTATTGGATCTGCTTATCTCCATGTTCATTAAGGACCTTAAGCAAAATATAAGTTTATTCTCTCATTAGTAATTCAGATTTCATTACTCTGCTCCTTCAGTTAAAATCTTTACATACTGGCAGCTGTTTTGAAAAATTTTGAAAGTTGCTTTGGCATTCACCCAACCAAAAGGACTCCAGTTAGCACTAAACTGTATACTCTCTCATTTTATACCCCTGCCACATCTACATTTTAGTGCATGTAGAGACTTGGGAAAAGATTATATGATATTTTAACTCCAAATACATGCATATGATATATAGATACACAGCGATCACAATTATATATTTAAATCTTTATCCTTGTTGTCAGTGTACAACTCTGCCTTTTGCTCATACAATACAAACAGCTATTTTCTGAAAATTCATTTCCATTTACTTAAATTGTTTGACTTTGAATTTTCACTATTTACTATCAGAAGGTACCAGTGACAGGTAGGAGAGAGAAGGCCACGAAGCCTGAATGTATCGAATTTTTGCTTTAATTTGGTCACACATTTAGGCAGAATAAAGTATTTACAGAAATCAGGATAAACTAAAGCAAAACAACATAAGTAGAATAAAAATATAAGTAGAATAAAAATACTATAGGTAATGAATAAAGTAAGAAATGCTTTTCTCTGAAATGTTAGATGTTTGTGCTGAATTATAAAGCAAAAGGGGATTTTATTCTATAAAGAAACTCATATAATTTCCAACAACCTGAGAGCTGAGTGTTTATTATAAGAGAAGCCATGAACTAGTATTACATAATCCCTCCATCATATCTTGGGAATAAGAATTTTATATTCCGAGAGAACTTAATTATTTGATTTAACCAATTTTCCATTTTTGCTCCTCAATCCAAATGGAATTCTAGCTATTACTGCTAAATCTGCCATGCTATTAGTATGTCCTTAGTATATTCAAAAGCAAAACAATAATGTCAGGGGAGAAAAAAAAACCCATAAACTTAACAATATAATCATTCTTGGTATTCCAGAAGAGAAACTAAGGAATTAAGAGATAATTGCTAATAAATTTTTGTTATATATGCATATCCATATATAATATATAAAGAGTTCTGAGGATTTTTTCATGTTAGTACTACATATATCAAACTGAAATATCTCAAGCGATTATGCTAAACTAATTCTCAGAGGAGCTTATAAATATAGCTAGAAAAAGAAGAGGTAGAGTTAGAAAAGTCTTTTAGCTTTTAAACTCAGTAGCAGGCATTATGAAGGAGACATTGTTTAGAAAAATTAGTGTGACTAGGGAAGGGTTTTAGAAATCCATATGAAGATTTCGGTTAAAGTATTTACACATTGTGGCACACATAATTCCAAAGCATGTGCAAATCAATATAACTATAAATGAACTTAGATTTAAATGCAAAATAACTACTCTTAACATATTTAAAATACAAATTTGTCTTTAAACAACAATCTTTTAAGTTTCATTTGCTTATTTTTCTCATGAT